CCTAAACCCTCAACACTAAACCCTCAACCCTGAACCCTAAACCTCCAACCCTAAACCCTTAGCCCTAAACCCTAAACCCTCAACCGCTTGGGGGGTCCCGTACCCCTAGCCCTAAACCCTAAACCCTAAACCCTTAAACCCCTAAACCCCCAAACCCCTCAATCATAGAACCCTCACCTATAAAACCCGAACAGGCCGCCGGATCAAGCCTTGGGAGCGAGCGACGTGCTATCTGGCGGGGCAGCTTCCTTCCGTAAGGGTTTAGGGTTTAGGGTTTAGGGTTTGGGGTTTAGGGTTTAGGGTTTCGGGTTTAGGATTCAGGGTTTAGGGTTCAGGGTTTCGGGTTAGGGTTTGGGGTTTACGGGTGAGGGTTTAGGGTTAGGGTTTGGGGTTTCCGGGTTAGGGTTTAGGGCTTAGGGATCAGGGGTTTAGGGTTACTGACATTGTTCAGGGTGTAGGAGTTTGAGGGTTAGGGTTCAGGGTTTAGGGTCTAGAGTTTAGGGGCTTAAACCTTAAACCCTAAACTTCAAAACCCTGACCCTGCACCTCATTTTGAGCCTAAGGGCCTTGTGGCCTTGGGGTCTTTGCTGGCTTTCCAAGTTTGTGACGTACATGGTTTTCCTTCTTGGGCTATGGGGTGCAGGGATCCGGGAGCGTGGGCGAATTAGTCGCGAAACGGCTGTGGGTAGGGTCTAGGGTTTAGGGTTTGGTTCGGGGTTTAGGGTTTGGAGTTTAGGATTTAGTCTTTAGGGTTTACCGTTTAGGGTCAAGCCTGAGCCACATTTCCACCCTTCTGGAAGGCCCAGTCTCTGGTGGTAGGAGGACCAGCACGTCCCAGAGCTGGCGAGACCATGGTTCTCTCCCTAAACCCTAAACCCTAAACCCTAAACCCTAAACCCTAAACAACCCTAAACCACCCTAGACCCTAAACCCTAAACAATGTCAGTATGGCGAGGAGCGACAGCCGCGTCCTTGGTGTCGACCATTCACAGGCCGCAGCGCGAACTCGCGAGTTTGTCGAGAACCTTCGCCATGGGCCGCAAACCCTACAGATCCTGAACGCCGGGTCTAAACCCTAAACCTGAAACCCTAAACCCTGAACCCTTACCCTAAATCCCTAACCCTAATCCCTAATCCCTAAACCCTAAACCCTAAACCCTAATCCCTAAACCCTAAACCCTAAACCCCAAACCCCAAACCCCTAACCTTAAACGCTAAACCCCTAAACCTTAAACTCTAAACCCCTGTGCCTGCGAGGTGCGAGCTGAGGCCCTTCTCGACATGGATGCGCCCCGCCGCGCGCTCACGGAGCTGCATCCAGCCAAGGAGACGCAAATCCCTAAACCCTAAACCCTAAATCCTAACCCCTAAACCCTAAACCCTACACCCTACACCCTGCACCCTACACCCTACACCCTACACCCTAAACCCTAAACCCTAAACCCTAAACCCTAAACCCTAAACCCTAACCCTAAACCCTAAACCCTAACCGTAAACCCTACCCCGCTAAGCCCTGAACCCTAAACCCGAAACCCTAAATCCTAAACCCTAAACTGTAAACCGTAAACCGCAAACCGTAAACCCTAAACCCTAACCCTAAACCCTGAACTCCTAAACCCTAAACCCTAAATCACTACTTCCCACGGGTTGGGTTTAGGGTTTGGCCTGAAGGGTTCAGGGTTGAGTGCCCCGGTGTAAGAACCCAACCAGTTTTTTTGGTGTGTTATTGCGATAACAACCCTTTGGAAAGACTACACGGAATTGGGCTTAAAGTTTTGTTTTTAGGGTTTAGGGTTTAGGAGGTATAAGCCCTAAATCTCTGCCTCTGATGCTCGCTAGTTCAAGGGGGACAGGGGGGTGAGGGGGTCCCCAGCTACATTCTGGGCATGTTTTGAAGAAATTGCTGTGCAAGACAGAAGGCATGCCACACTTTGACAGCCTACTGGGGTGTGGAAAACAACATTGTGCCCAACGCACATGATCTGAGATCTCAAGTGATTCCAGTCTGGACTGAGATGTTAACAAAAGCTTTCCGTCAAACAGAACTTTCAAACGGAAAGGTCCAACCTACATGACCTTATAGCCCTACAACCCTATGACCCTGTAACCCTGCAAAACCCAACAACCACTGCAACCCTCTGATCTAATCCCTAAACACTAGACTCTAAACCCCAAACCCAAAAACCTAAACCCCTAAACCCCTAAACCCCTAACCCCAAACCCCAAACCCCAAACCCTAAACCCTAAACCCTAAACCCTAAACCCTAAACCCTAAACCCTAAACCCTAAGCCCTTTCAAGGAGCTGCTGGAGAAGAACAGGGCAGGATGGCCCACAGAAGCTCGATTGGGAGTTTAGGGTTTAGACTGTTTAGGGTTTAGGGTTTGGGGTTTAGGGTTTAGGGTTTGGGGTTTAGGGCTCAGGGGTTCAGGCTTTAGGGCTTAGGGCTTAGATTTAGGGTTCAGGGTTCAGGGTTTCTGTTTAGGGTTTAGGGTTCAGAGTTTAGGGCTTCGGGTCTAGTGTTTAAGGTTTTGGGTTTGGGGTTCCCTGTACGAACTCCTTTCAACAAGCGGCGTTTCTTTTTCGATTCCCAGGTCGCTCTGAGATCAAGTTCAGGTTTACGAGGTAGGCCTTTACGGGGGACTGGTTAGGGGGGTTTAGGGTTTAGGGTTTAGGGTTTAGGGTTTAGGGTTTAGGGTTTAGGGTTTAGGGTTTAGGGTTTAGGGTTTAGGGTTTACGGTGCCTTGCTGCTTCGGGTCCAGCGGGTTGTGTGTTTAGAGGTTATGGGTTGGGAGGTACCTGCCTATACGAACTGTCCTTAACAGGGATTGTAGTACTCCCTAGTATAGTCCCTATTAAGGACGGTTAGTATAAGGGGGAACATCCCCAAGTTATGGGGTTTCGGGTTTAGGGTTTAGGGTTTAGGTCTTAGGGTTAGGGTTTAGGTCTTAGAGTTTAGGGTCTAGGGTTTTAGGGTTTAGCATTTAGGGTTTAGGGTTTGACTTGAAACGCAGATCTATAGGGTCCTCAGGGTCAGGTGTGGGTCGCAGGTAGAGTCCTTGCCCTAGGACACATGCCCTAAACCCCAACGTGTTGACCCCCAAAAAGCGTCTAGGACCCATGCCCTACACCCACTCGAAGCCTCGAGCCCTACACTCTTGTCAGGGTTTAGGGTTTGGGGTTTGGGGTTTGGGGTTTGGGGTTTGGGGTTTGGGGTTTGGGGTTTGGGGTTTGGGGTTTGGGGTTTGGGAAAGGCTCTAACCTTGTTAGGGACCCAAAGCCTCAACCCCCCAAGCCCTCGCCTTCAGAATCCGCCCAGGAGCTGCTGAAGCGGATGGAGGACGCGGACCTGCGCTACGCTGCCCGGAGGGACTCCAACGACCAGCGGCGGGTGGAGCGGGAGAACGCCAAGGCTTGGAGTTTAGTCTGTCCTTCGGGTGTATATGGGCCTTTAAAGGGCTTGAAAGGGTTTAGGGTTTAGGGTTTAGGGTGATTGATTGGGGTTTCCAGGGCATCCGCGGATCTGTCCTTAGGGTGTATATGGGGATAAAAGGGTTTGAATTCCGGTTTGTAGGGTTGATTGATAGGGTTTTAAGGGGCATACGAGGGTCTAGGGTTTAGGGTTTGGGGTTTAGGGTTTAGGGTTTAGGGTTTAGGGTTCACAAGCTTTACAGGATTTGTTGGGCTTATGGGAACCCTACCTTACCCTGAACCCTCTACCCTAAACCCTAAATTCTGTAGAAGCCCTGATCCCCAAACCCTAGACCCACCTTAACCTTAAACCCTGAACCCTGAACCCTAAACCCTAAGCCCTAAACCCTAAACCCCAAACCCCAAACCCTAAACCCTAAGCCCTAAACCCACCTTAACCCTAAACCCTAAACTCCATTTTAGGGCCTCACGCCGCATCTGTGACCCGACATCCCTCAGCCCTAAACCCTAAGCCCTAAACCCTAAACCCTAAACCCTAAACCCTAAACCCTAAACCCTAAACACTAACCCTGTCTCTTCCCCTGTGTTCTTCGGGTTGACGGCTTTATGGGGCCAGGGGCCCTAAACCCTCAGCCCCTGAACCGCAGAAAAGGCTTCGGGCACAGGGTTTGGGGTTTGGGGTTTAGGGTTCAGGGGGGTGTAGGGTTTAGGGTTTAGGGTTACCCTCAAGATTCATTGGGCTTAGGGTTCAGGGGGCCCTCAAACCTCAAGCCCTGTTACGTTCGAACTCTTCTTGGTGCGCCCTTTTATCTGGGGGGATTCCGACGGTACCCAAAACGCTTGGAAACTCCCATATGATAAGCTCCTCATCATGTCACCCCTACACCCCAAACCCTAAACCCTATATAACCCCAAACCCTAAACCCCAAATCCTAAACCCCAAACCCTAAACCCTAAACCCCAAATCCTAAGCCCCAAACCCTAAACCCTATATAACC